TTCAATACGCTTTCTTCACCTCTCTAGTTGTGGAACTTCCACTCAGCCAGCTTTCCCACGGTTCTGGATGATAGTTGTTCTGCCTTTTGTAATTCTGATGTGTTGTGAGAGGCAACAAGTGTCGGTGTTTACCTATGCCACCATCTTCTTAATCTATCCAGAGCTACCATCTTAATAGCTCTACCTTACTGTTGCCCTTACCTCTTAGCTCATATTAGCCACTTCTAGTTGTGTAACCTTGGTTAAGCTAGTTGACTTTGTGTCTGTTTTCTCGGCTGTAAAATAGTGATAACAAGGTACCAGCTGATAAGATTGTCATGAGGATTAAACAACATAAAGAGTTTGGAACAGTGCTTGGCCATAGTGAGTGTTCAGTTACATGCCAGACATGTATTTCTGCTGATGGACACTTGGGCTTGTTTTGGTATATCTATTAATTCAACAGCTATTTGAGTAACAGTATAAGTGCCAAGCGTAGTCATAACTGCGAGGAATGTAGTGGTTTCTGGAGTTTACATTTTGTAATCGTCACTATTATTTAGGCTGGAGTTAACATTTTAATGGAAGAACAGGCAGTGAACATAAGCAATCAGCATAATTCCAGATTGAAGAGGGAGTGGACATTATTTTGGATTAGGTGACATTTGAGCTGAAACCTAAAGGATGGGTCATGTGAAAAGTTTGGAGAGAACAGCTAATGCCACGTGTCCACTCCTATCTCTGCCTGAGATGGGGACAGTGTAAACAGGGAGGCCGGGCAGGAGACTGTTGAGTTTTGTTGGCGAGAAATGATGGTGGCTCAGACCAGACACGGTGGAGGTAGGGGGAAGCAAGTGGACGATGTTGCTGTGAATATATTTGTACATGACTTTTGTGACCACTTGAATATTTCTGTAGGATTGATTCCTAGAAGGGTAATTGCTGTGTCAGAGTATGAATAGTAATAGCTGACATTCATTAAATGCTGACTCTATGCCAGGTACTATTTTAGGTGCTTTTCATGTAATTGAGCCATAAGTAAGCTGTAATCTTGGGGCCCCTGGCATGGTTAAGGATTAACAACATAAACATGAAGGTCAGGGGTGATGCCACTTGAATAAAAAAAAAAAAAACTCGCAGAGTTTGAAGAGCTCCACAGGATGTAGGGATCATGGAGAGGACACGTGGCTATAATGTGACTTATCAGAGGCATTTATATGTGGCATTTGCTCTGAATTCAGCGGAGAGAGTATTCGAGTCTGTCATAAGAAAAGACTTGCTGCCGAAACCGGTTTGGCTCAGTGGATAGAGCGTCGGCCTGCGGACTGAAGGGTCCCAGGTTCGATTCCGGTCAAGGGCATGTACCTGGGTTGTGGGCACATCCCCAGTAGGAGATGTGCAGGAGGCGGCTGATCGATGTTTCTCTCTCATCGATGTTTCTAACTCTCTCTCTCCCTTCCTCTCTGTAAAAAATCAATAAAATATATTTAAAAAAAAAAAAGAAAAGACTTGCTGAGGAAATGGCACTCAGGTTGGGGTTTGAAGTCTGGGGAAAGGCTTGACTGGGCGTAGAGAGGAAGAACAGGTGCATTTCAGGTGTGTGGAATATTGTGATTTAAAGTTTGCAGGTGGTGGCCCGACTGGTTTGGGTCAGTGGTTGAGCATCAACCTATGAACCAGGAGGTCACGGTTCAATTCCCGGTCAGGGCACATGCCCAGGTTAGGGGCTAGATCCCCAGCGGAGTGGCATGCAGGAGGCAGCCAATCAGTGATTCTCTCTCATTATTGATGTTTCTATCTCTCCTCTCCCTTTCTGAAATCAATAAAAATATAGACATATAAAAAAATAAAGTTTGCAGGTGAAAAACTGAGGGCATGTTTGGGATTGAGTAAAGTAATTTGGTGGTAGTAGGAGGTAAGGCTGGGGAAGTCAGAGCTAGCCAATAACTGAATGGCTTTAAATGCCAGCTTTAGATTTCTTTGTCAGTTTTATTTTATTTTATTTTATTTATTTGTGTGTGTGTGTGTGTGTGTGTGTGTGTGTGTTTTGTTTGTTTGTTTTTTGTTTTAATCAGAATGAATCCTTTACTGAGCCATTTGTAATTAAGGCAGTGGGATTGGGGAGAAGTTTAATAAATTCAAGTAACATAAACTGAGCATCTGTTACATGCCAAGGATTATGCTAGATGGCTTTGCATACACATTTTACCAGGTTGTTGAGATTAAAAACCATTAAGTCAGAATTAGTATCCCCATTTTACAGGTGGATAAACTGAAGTTTAGAGAGATTGTCTAGGTCAGCCAGGTAGGAACTCGCAGAGCCAGAATTTAAACCCAAGTCTTCACACATAGAGGCATGAGTGATCGGTAATGCCTGTTGCTGAAGGAATATCAAGGAGAACAGAGCCTGAGAAGTTAGTAGGTGTGGAGATTAGGAGGCCATTGGTAATATTTGAAGATACGGATTCCTAGACGAGAGCAGGGCTGTATCTTTGAGGTACTGGAGCAGTCAGACAGCAGAAAACCCACTCACTCTGACTGAAAGGGAACTTAGAACCTGGAGTTCCAAGTGCAGCAGCGTCAGGGCCAGGTGCTGGGAGGGCTCACAGACTCACAGTGATAGCAGAGACTTGGAAAGTACAGCTAAATGCAAGGGTGCTCCACCTTTCTGCGCAAGGAGGCCAGGTAGAAGCCTGGTTTGACGTGTACTATATTCTTTTAGGAAACATTGCCTATTACATTTGCTGATTCTTGAGGGATTAGGGCTCCTCTGGAAAGCCAAATAGTTTTCCTTCCTCCTCCCATCCGGTGGTATGATGCTCTACATCTCTGATAAAGGACCTGCTCATTGTCTCCTGTAAGCCCTCTTCTCAGCTGTCTCCTGTTCTGGTGAAGTGGAATTGTCACTTGAAAGGCCTGTCTGCTCTCCTGTGATTGGCAGTGAAAGGGCCCATAGGTTGAAAGCAATAATGGAGAAACTGAGACCCAGACATATCCCTTTGAGGGAAATATTGTCAATATTCTCCCTCTTTCCCCATCTTATCCTTTGACTGTATCAGCGAAGGAAATCCAAAATCTGCTAGCACCAAGAACCAGCACAGGACTCAGCCACCATTCTCATTAAAGACTTCTAGTCTACATGCAACATCCATAATTATTAGAACCATTGGAACATAGTTTCTGCATGTTCTTCCCAATACTTGTTGAGAATGGACTCATTTCATAAATTAAGAGCAAACTCATTGTCCAGGAGAAAGAACTTGAATTTATGTGAGGCTGTTCTTAGTTCTTACTTACCCTTTTCAGTGTGAATAATCATGTATCTGCTGCAGAAATATTAAGGCGTTTAATTACAGAGCGCTGTCTAAGATGCTGATGGGGTTGTTACATAATATATGATGTAAAGAGAGCAGGGTTTACATTGTAAACTCTTTTATTTCTTTTTTATAATGTCAATGAATGAGCACTTTTTTTATTTTGTATTTTTTTTAAATTTAGTGTTCAATTACAGTTGACATAAAAGTTTATGTTAGTCTAAGGCAGCCGTGGGCAAACTACGCCCCGAGGGCCAGATCCGGCCCGTTTCAAATGAATAAAACTAAAAAAAAAAAAAAAAAGACCGTACCCTTTTATGTAATGATGTTTACTTTGAATTTATATTAGTTCACACAAACACTCCATCCATGCTTTTGTTCCGGCCCTCCGGTCCAGTTTAAGAACCCATTGTGGCCCTCGAGTCAAAAAGTTTGCCCACCCCTGGTCTAAGGTGTATAACAGTACTAGACATTTATATACCTTACAACGTGATGACTCCATTAGTTTAGGACCCTATATGACATCATATTCTTTATTCCTGTTTCAAATCAAAAATTGTGATTCTGAAACACTTGTGCTTCAAGGGATTTTTTCTTTTTTTCCTCATTGAAAAGAACTTGTGCCTTTATTTTGTCACTATATATGGGAATTTTGTATGTTTTCCTCCCCTCCAAGGGAATTCAAATAAGATATTGTAGACATATATACTGTCTCCCACTGACTTCAGAGTTAAGTCCAGACTTCTTGGGATGGCCCAACCTCTGACTACCTTCTGTTAGCCACGTCTTCTGTCACTTTATACATAGAATGATCCAAACATTTCCTCAGTACACCCTCTTTCATGCTGCCACGTTTTTGCGTGTTATGGCTTAAATAGTACCCCTTCCCACCTCTTCTTCTGCTATCATACTAGTCTAAGCCCTCATCCTCTCACCTTAACTGTGATACTCTTCCCCTCCAGACCCCACTACCCCATGGCTTTTCATCAGGCTTAGAATAAAATCCAGAAACCTTACAATGCCTGTGAGAGCCTTCATGATAGCCCTGGTTCTGTCTACAACCTCATTTCCTACCAGTTTCCCCATTGCTCACTGCTCTTCCTCTCCCTGAAACATGCCACCAACTCCTGCCTCAGGGCTTTTGCTCTTGCTGTTTTCTCTGCCTGGATGCTCTTCTCCCAAATATCTATATATTCATCCTTTATATCATTTCCATTTGTGCTCAGCACCTCCTCAGAAAGGCCTTTTCAATGAGTTTGACTAAAATAACATCCTCCATCAGTCTTGATCACATCATGCTTGATGTTCATCACTTTTTGGCATAATATACAGGGTGAGGCAGAAGTAAATTTACAGTGTGAGTACCTGAAACAGTTTATTATTGTATTATTACTTATTAATTTTGTATTATTTTCCATATGAACAATTGTAAAACCTACTTTTGTCCCACCCTATATACTCTCTTATTTATCTGCTTTCTTCACAAAGTATAAGATACAGAACGGCAAGGATTATGTTTGATTTATTTCCACACCTTAGAGAGGTGCCTGGCATAGGTGCTCAACAAATATTTGTTGAGTGAATGTGCTCTGCAGGATGGATTGGAGCATCTCTTTTTTAGTTTTGAGGCTGTGCTGCTTCAGTGCAGTGAATGAAAACTAAAATTATTGCCCTATTTTGTTCTTCAATGATTTGGCGAGTTTCTGCTGTTCCGTTATCCAGTTAACAACGTTTGTGTTACAGGCTGCGGGCCTCCCGGGTGCTTCTTGTTGGCATGAAAGGGCTCGGGGCTGAAATTGCCAAGAATCTCATCCTGGCAGGAGTGAAAGGACTGACCATGCTGGATCACGAACAGGTGAGATGTGCAGCCACCTCATCACTCTCCAAAGCAGTCTCCCCTCTTAGCTATAAACACTTGGGGATTTGGGGAGTTCCTGCTTGCCCCTTCAGGGCTGTGGAAGGAGGGCTGGCATGAATGGAGACTGATGGTGCTAGCACTGCGTTTTATTCAGCACCACCACTCCTGTCTCCTTGTTGAGCTTGTTTATCTGCACGTGGAGTTAAGTTCTCTCTTGGAGAGTGATCCTGAGGGGTAGGGGAGTAGCTTTCCAATTTGTGCTTATACATCACCTGAATAATTAAAAATGGAGAATTGCCTGGGGGCTTTGTCATGGGATAGTCCTTCACCCTCCGCTGATTCTACTTTAGAAAAAAAGTCTGAGATGAGGCTCAGGAATAAATACATTTAAAAGGTATCTCAACTCAATTTTTAAAAACTAAAAAAATAGCCGGCCAGTATGGCTTAGTGGTTGAGCATCGACCTATGAACCAGGAGGTCAAGATTCGATTCCCAGTCAGGGCACATGCCCTGGTTGTGGGCTTGATCCCCAGTAGGGGTGCGTGCAAGAGGCAGCCAATAGATGATTCTCTCTCATTAGTGATGTTTTCTTCTTTGTTTTTTTGACAGGCAAGTATTAATATATTTTTATTGATTTCAGAGAGGAAGGGAGAGGGAGAGAGAGATAGAAACATTAATGATGAAAGAGAATCATTGATCGGCTGCCTCCTGGATGCCCTCCACTGGGGATCGAGCCCACAACCCAGGCATGTATTTCTGACCAGAATCAAACCCGGGACCCATCAGTCCACAGGCTGATGCTCTATCCACTGCGAGAAACCAGCTAGGGGTTCATGACTGATGTTTTTATCTCCCTCTCCCCTCCTCTCTGAAATCTATAAAAATACTGTTTTTATTGATTTTTTTAAAAAAAATTTTTTTTTATTGACTTTAGAGAGGAAGGGAGAGGGAAAGAGAGGTGGAAACATCAATGATGAGAGAGAATTATTGGCTGCCTCCTGTATGCCCCCTATTGGGGATCAAGTCTGCAACCTGGGCATGTGCCCTTGACTGGAATCGAATCTGGGACCCTTTAGTCCACAGGCCAATGCTCTTTTCACTGAGGCAAACCAGCTAGCACTGTTTTTATTGATTTTAGCAAGAGAGGAAGGGAGAGAGAGAGAAACATGATGTGAGAGAGAAACACTGATTGTTTGCCCCCTGTACACTCCCTGACAGGGGATTGACCCAAAACCTGGGTATGTGCCCTGGCTGGGAATGGAATCTGCAGCCTTGTTGTGCACTGGATGACGCTTCAATCAATTGAGCCACCGGGCCAGGGCTGCAATCATTAATTTTTAAAAATTTTACTGCAATTTGAAAAGAAACATGGTTGGCTTTCTTTTTTTTTAATTAATAATATATTTTTATTGATTTCAGAGAGGAAGGGAGAGGGAGACAAACATCAGTGATGAGAGAGAATCATTGATCGGCTGCCTCCTACACGCTCCCTACTGGGGATCGAGCCCACAACCCAGGCACAGTGCCCTTGACTGAAATCGAACCTGGGACCCTTCAGTCCACAGGCTGACACTCTATCCACTGAGCCAAACGAGCTAGTGCGTGTGTTGGCTTTCTTAATATCACAGTCATATATTGATTTTTGACTTGAATTTAAAACCTTTTAAGCCCTAGCCGGTTTTGCTCAGTGGATAGCGTTGGCCTGCGGACCAAAGGGTCCTGGGTTCAATACTGGTCAAGGATACATACCTTGGTTGCAGGCTCCTCCCCAGCCTGGGCCCTGGTCGGGGTGATAATCAATTGATGTGTTTCTCTCACATCGATATTTCTCTCTGTCTTTCCCTCTCTCTTCTACTCTCTCTAAAAATCAATGGAAAAATATCCTCAGATGAGGGTTAAAAAAATAAATAAAAATAAAACCTAAAGCCGAAAACCGGTTTGGCTCAGTGGATAGAGCATCGGCCTGCGGACTGAAGGGTCCCGGGTTCGATTCCGGTCAAGGGCATGTACTTGGGTTGCGGGCACATCCCCAGTAGGAGATGTGCAGGAGGCAGCTGATCGATGTTTCTCTCTCATCGATGTTTCTAACTCTCTATCTCTCTCCCTTCCTCTCTGTGAAAAATCAATAAAATATATTTAAAAAAAATAAATAAATAAAACCTAAGGAAGGAAAATTCCAGCAAGCAAACTTTCAGGTTATTTAACAGTCTGAGGACCTGCTGCTTTGACATCTCCGCAACCACAGTGCCCCCTAGAGGCAGGAGCACCTCATCTAGACTAATTTGTAGTGTCCAGAGAAGTTAAGAGTTAGAGACTCAAGGAAGGATGATTCCTAAACTTGGAGGCCTTGGTGTGGAATAAATGAAACCACACGGGGATGCTGACTTCTCATCTGGTTGGAGGAATCCAAGAATGGGGAACGATAATTTAACAGCGAGGGGTGTGTGCTATGGTCCTGTCACTGCCTCAGTCCAGTGAAGGCCACCCAGTGTGGTAGTAAACAGGCTGATTGTCATCCCTTACCTCTTCACTTTGAGGACTTAGAGTGCCTTCTACTGCCTTCCAATGCAAGGCCTAACTCCTCTGACTGGTTTCAAGGCTTCACCCAGAGGTTCTCAGTCCCATCTGTGCTTTAGAATCTTTGGAGAGTTATTTTAAAATAAAAGGTCTCCAGGTGAGCCTGACCGTCAGGGAGGGCAGAGAACCTTTGGCTTCATGTAACCTGGTCCCAGTCAAGTTACCCTCCCTGACCCCATCTCATAAACCTAATAGCTCATAAACACTGTGGTTCCTCTGCCCTTTGCAATTTGCTTGTGTCCCCCTTTACCCCCCGCCCTCCCCACGACGAGAAAAATCCCAGGCAGACAGTGCTACATACTGCAAAAGCCTTGGAATCAAGCAGGCTTGAGTTCAGATCCTCCCTCCTCAAGGTGAGCGAAGGACTTAACCTTTCAGAGACTCAGTTTGCTCCTCTATAAAATGAGGATGTTATTTTCTGCCCCTTAGAGGCTTTCATTTTGTTTACATCAATAAGCATCCAAGATCCCCTTCTGCTGCCCTGAAGTATTATAGGTATTTGGTTCCCATTCTCCATTTTTCCCCAGAAACCAGAGTGGGCTCCCTGACTCAGGTTGTGATAGGGGGACATAAAAGTCTTCCTGGAGTTCTGATCTGAGCTGAGTGTTAAAGAACAAGTAGAGATTGATCCAGTCGAGGGGCTGTATTTCAGGCAGGGGCCATTAGCAGTGGCACAAAACAGCAGGGGAGAAATAGACTATAGAAAGCAGTGTGGAATGTTTAGAGTGTGAAGCTCAAAATGGTGGGAGGTGGGACTAGGTTGCAGGTAAGGTCCAAGTGCTGAAGAGCCGGCTGGCAAGCCCCGCTGTGAGCTTTCACTTACACCCCTGGGTGGTAAGGATTCATTGAAGAGTTTCCAACGTGGGGAGGAGTGACCTGGTCAGCTTTGGACTTTGGGTAGATGACTAATTACTGTATCTACTATGGTTGGCACAAGATAAAGAGCAAAAGACCACTTAGAAGGTTGCTTTAGTCGTTTTGGTGAGATGAAAAGGATATGAGTGATGGTATTGGTGATAGGGCAGGAAGCACACACAGGTGAGAAAAACTTAGTAGAATTGATAGGATTGTATATGAGCTCGTAAGGAAAAACAAAGAATATCTTAGAAAAGCGACACTCACTGAAGGTGCTGGAGACTGTTCTAAGAGCTGTGGCTATAGTGTCATTTAGTCCGCAAAACTAAGAACACTGAGAAAAGGAAGTGAAGGACTGGCCCACTCAAGGTCACAGTAGTTAGTGGGAGACAGTGACTCAGTCAGTCTGATTCCTGGCAGAGCCCATGCTCTTAGCCACCTTAGCAGATGACGGCTATCGAGGAAATACCAAGGATTTGAACACCAGGTTTCTGGTTCGGATGACTGGATGGGCAGTTTGATGGGCTTATCAACAGAGACAAATACAAGAGTCAAATATGAAGGGCCGGTGGGATATCCAGGAGGAAGTATCTGGTGGGCAGTTAGTTTAATACAAGGCTCAGATCAGGAAGAAATCTGTACCAGTAAGAGTGATTTAAGAAATACTAGAAAATTCTGGTAGAAATTAAAAGAAGCATTGGGTTGGTTTATGGTGGTATACAGAGCGAAAAGATGAGTGATTCTGAGATGGGATCTTGGGACCCATGTAGAGGCTGGACTGTCTGTGGAGGGAGGAAGAGAGCCAGGGTCTGGGAGGCCAAGGGAGCAGAGCATGGATAGTAATAGTTAGTATTGGAGTAATTAGTACGTGCATTGTTTTTATTAACATCTGCATTTGACCTGTGATTCCTTCATACTTACTCAAGGTCACACAGTAAGTGGTTGAGTCACATTGGAACAAAAGATTTGAATCCTGCCTGAATTATTTCAGAGCCTTGCCCTTAGCCACTATGGTGTATAGCAGGGGTCTGGCCTGTGGGTCGTATAAAACCCTCAAAATCATTTGGTCTGGCTCTGCCAAGCCTTAGGGTGAGTTAATTAAATGTTTGACCAAATACAGCCGGCTAATGTTTAAGTTGAACATTTTGTGTGGCCTATGAATGATGTTATAAATATCCAAATGGCCCTTGGCAGAAAAAAGGTTCCCCACCCCTGGTGGATGGCTTCTCATAATATCATGAGATCTCTGAAGAAGCGGGATGGGATGGGTCAAGGATCCTGTTAGGGCTGGCCTTGAATGGGAGAAGGACCAGCTCATTTTCTTGAAGGAAAGGTAGTGAGGTAGTCCTGTGAGAACTTGGCAGGAGGGGAGGAGGGAACCCAGTCTTGGTGAAGGTGACGAAGTCACATCTAGAGATGAATGGTTAAATTAGATCTTTGATTTGGGGAGAAATGCTTTGTGAACAACATGGAGTCTGTAATCCTAGTGGGAACTGTCATGTGATTATGTTACCTGGCTTTGAGGCTCTCTGCGGTACATCCAGCCTTATGGGTGAAATCATTTCTCTGCTCCAGTCCCCACTCATCTTTCCTCCTCTGAGTTTTCATTGAATTTAAGAGTTCATTTCAAGCATTCTTAATTGTGCCTGAAATTTGCACTGGTCTAATTTTAAACCACTGTAGAAAGGGACTTCATCCTTTAAACTACTTATGTTTCTTTCTGAATGCTTAGCGTGGGGCACATGGTAGGTATCTGGTAAATGCTTACCACTAATAATTACATCATTTTTTAAAAAAATATATTTTTATTGATTTTTTACAGAGAGGAAGGGAGAGGGATAGAGAGTTAGAAACATCGATGAGAGAGAAACATCGACCAGCTGCCTCCTGCACACCTCCTAATGGGGATGTGCCCACAACCAAGGTACATGCCCTTGACCGGAATCGAACGTGGGACCCTTCAGTCTGCAGGCCGACGCTCTATCCACCGAGCCAAACCGGTTTTGGCAATAATTACATCATTTTGATAGCAGTTACAAACCTAAGTTGAAGAAGAAAGCATGGACTTTTCTGTTTAGTGTGAATTTTCTTTATAAACACAAGGGGGTGCTCTTGAACCATCAATGCCCAGTAAAAGTTAAATGTCTATTTCAAAGCCTCAGAAGGAAAGAGTATAGGGCGTCTGCATTAGGCAGGTTCCTGCAGGAACAGTAATGCAATCAAATGGTAGGTATTTTAGTTATCCTTTAAAAGGGAAAGGTTCATTGTCTTTGAGATACAATTTTCTCCAAATTCAAGTATTTAAGAAAAATTTCTTCCTAGGTATCGCCAGAAGACCTTGGAGCTCAGTTCTTGATCCGTACTGGGTCTCTTGGCCGAAACAGGGCCGAAGCCTGTTTGGAGCGAGCTCAGAATCTCAACCCCATGGTGGAAGTGAAGGTGGACACCGAGAATATAGAAAAGAAGCCCGAGTCATTTTTCACTCAATTTGATGCTGTAAGTTTCATAGAGATTGTCTGATCTGGGGAAATTAAAGCACTAATGGTGTGTGTTCTAGGTACCCTAAAGCATTAGAATCTCGAATTCTGAGCTTTTTCCCAAGTAAGTTTATAAGCTGTCCTGTTCTGTAGGTTTACTATACTGCCTTAGTAGATTGAATGTGTTGATAGATGGATCTAGTATGTTGGGTCTGCTATAGCTGTGAGTTGCTGTCTTTTGGTTTCTTCTTTGGGCATATGTTCCCCTAGACCAGGTTTCATCCTTGGTGTTTGTCTTCCTTCCAGAATCTTTGCACATGGCTTTGATACATATTATTGCAAATGTTTTCTCCTGAAAACTTAACAAGTTGGTGATTAATTTCTGTAGCAGAGTCATTTTTTTGGTTAGAAATACCAAACTACAGCTTGTGTTTTGTCTTTAAAAAGAGCACACCTGATCTTGGTCTGTCTCTCTCACACAGCCACTTTGACCATGTTGCCATGGATATCTAGACAGAATCACTATAGTCCTAAGCCAAATGAGGCATATCCAACCTCACTTGCTTTCTCTGCCAAATCTCTGCAGAGGTGAAAGGATAAGTTAAATTCTGTTTCAGTGCCTGTGACCTTTCAGACATGGTTCCTTGTACCCTGCAAGAAGCTTGAAAAATTGTGAAATAGTCACAGATGATCTACTTGTTTTTTAAATGAAAGGCCCATTATACGAGAGGTTAGAATTCGGGTTGAGTAGTTTGTTTTTCACGCTGTTATATTTCGTATGCGCATCTGTTCAAATATGGGCTTGAAATGATGGATCATCTGTGCATTTTGTCCTTTTTTTCTTTTTAATTCATTCTGTTTCATAACTCCAGATATTGGAACATTTTCCACGTGGATGAAGGTCTTCTCTTCATTCCTTTGTTCATAGCAACCACATTTGATTTATTCTAGGTGTCCCTCAACCTTCTAGCAACTAGAAGCTTTGTTAGAACTGAAGTGTGGGGCCGGTTGCTTGTATAACGCATGTGCACGGGGCAAGCGAGACTGCCTCACAGGCCATGTTTGACTGGTCCCGAATTGGGTTTAGTCACTTGTGACTCTGTATGTTTCCATTTGGTCAGTTGATTGCATGTTCAATCGTGGTTGTCTCACCTTTTTAGATTTGATTTTTCCTTGGGAGGCTGTGTCCTCTGAATGACACCAGATGCACGTATTTCTCCAGGAGTGTTATTTCAGTAGTCAGTAGCCAGACAACAGCAGAGAGGTTCTATCAAATGAAAATATCCTTTTGTAATTTATTCTCCAACTTTCTATGTTCAGATGAAAAAGGTCTACATTAGAAGTTATCTTCTTGGCCGTGATCACAAAGCTTCTCCAGAAAAGATGGTGTTTTATGCCATGAAATTTAGCCATTTCCAATCCCTTAACTTATTGGAATAGAACCTACAGGCCTCAGAGCAGCATTGATAATTCCACTAAGTGAATCACCAGTTCATTGTCTAAGTCTGAATGGAAGGTCACTTGGTCTATAACCCCCCTTTTTTTTTTGTCCTTAAATTCAGATAAAGTTTTCACATGGAAAAATAATCTCAACAGGACTTGGTTATCTTTTTTATCTTAACACATCAATCAAAAGAAGGGGGGAAAGTGCCCTTGTATTTAAACGTGACTAGGGGTCAATTTTAAAAACTGGTTTTGCTCCTTGTTGTAGCTTATTCAGATTTTAATATATTTAATCACTTAGAAATAACTTACACTTAGGTTATTAGTGTCTTTTTCTTTTCATGAAAACCATGAAATGTGGTTTATGTGTTCATGGATCAGGGGAAACAAATTCATTAAATGGCTTTTACTTTCTAGTTAAACACATTTCATTTGGGTTGCAGAAAGTAACCGTCTCATAATTTACATTTTCTACGCACTGAAACCTGCAACTTTCCTTTTGTCTTCTAGCCATAGGATCCCAGGAACCTGTTGTACCAGTTTGAAACTGGCTTTAGACATGCCTAGTGAGACTGTTCATTAAGATTTATTTAGACATCAGGACAATGATTCACCGTTTGCAGAACTCACGCCCAGCCAATTTCTTTCTTTCTGCAGGTATGTCTGACTTGCTGCTCCAGGGATGTCATAATTAAAGTTGACCAGATCTGTCACAAAAATAGCATCAAGTTCTTTACAGGAGATGTTTTTGGCTACCACGGATACACATTTGCCAATCTTGGAGAGCATGAATTTGTAGAGTAAGTGTTGGGAGAGGAGGAGAGAATATAACATTTTCAAAGTGTCATTTTACTCACTGCTAGAAAATGAACCATTAAGGAAAGTCTTTTACTATAACACTTAGAACATTGGGAAGCCAATTCATTGACAGCTTCTGATACATAGATTGTGTGTTCAGCATTGTAGGAGATGGGGACCTTGCCTTCCACAATGATGGTCTCATTTAAAGCATAAAGAAAGCAGTGTTCGAGGCAATTGAAGTACATCACCTGGGGGTTTGATCACTCTGGATTTCAGGGGGTGAAGCACGCTTTTAGGGAAGGCTTCTTTGGATTGTAAACATTTTTGTCCAGCTTAGCAGGTCAAACTTTTCAGGTTGAGAGATAGTAAAATTAGTACAAAATACGTTAGATGGGCAACTCTGGAGGCACACTCAGCCAAAACCTGCCTTGGAAATAAAAGGCTCCATGGTCCAAAGACTGCTCTGTGCAACCAGCAGCCCTGTCCTCTCATTTTGAACACTGCGGTTGCAGACCGTGGTGATTCTCACATGATGGGACCTGCCGTGTTTTGAACTTGTAGCTTCTAAATGAAAGATGGTGCCAGTGTTGTAAAACTACACGAGTTGGGCTTTTTTTGGTTGTAATTTTCTGACCGCTGACACCCCCTCTCCCCCATGAGATGTAAAGACTGAGAGGTAAAGGGAGTCCCTGCTGTGTGCAGGTGAGCTTCCTACCAAGTTGAGAACTTTCTTTAGTTCAGCTTCTCGGGCAAGTCACTGAAATTTCTCTGGTCTGCAGGTTTCTTGCCTGTAAAATTGACGTGGGGGAAGGACACACATGTTCAGGATCTCCCATAGCTGCAACGTTTTGTGGCTTTAGAAAATCTAGTTATTTGGGCACATTATACATGGATAAAGAAGTCATAGAGGAAAGCAGTCCAGATTATTTTAATGTGAGTTCCCCATGGCAGAGGGGAGGGATTCAGTTAGAGTAATTCATGATTCAAGTGGTACGTTCACAAAGTTTATTGAGAGCTTACTAGGCAGTATGCTGAGAAATGTATGTTACTTCTCTTCTTACAAGAATCTTTCGTTAGCAGTTGTTACTCCCGCATAGCGGGTGACTGGCTCGTCAGGTGTTCGGTGGCCAACCTGTGATTTGAACCCAGATCTGTTTGACTCCAAGACTTTGGCTCTTAACCAACATCCCATTCTGTGAGCTGGTAATGCTCTATTTGTTCTAATGGCGTGATTCCTAGAGTAGAACTGGATTCCCTCCCTTGTCGCCCTCTAGGGAGAAGACCAAAGTTGCCAAGGTTAGCCAGGGAGTAGAAGATGGCCCTGATACCAAGAGAGCAAAACTGGATTCATCTGAGACAACTATGGTCAAAAAGGTATGTGTACCGTGCGGGGAGGGTCATGAACACTGAGCCTCATGGGAACGGGCAGTTACAATGGCATAGGAGGGAAGCCAGCATGGTGGGCTTGGAGGGAGAGTCTGGGGAGACTGGGTCAGTGCTTGTCCCATTTAAAGGGGGGTAGCTGCTGCTTAGTGCCAGCCAGCTGAGCTATGAGGGGATGTGTGGATCTAGGATGCCAGATGTGATTTTTAAAAAAAATATATTTTATTGATTTTTACAGAGAGGAAGGGAGAGGGAGACAGAGATAGAAACATCGATGAGAGAGAAACATCGATCAGCTGCCTCCAGCACACTCCCTACTGGGTATGTGACCGCAACCAAGGTACATGCCCTTGACTGGAATCGAACCTGGGACCCTTCAGTCTGCAGGCCGACGCTATATCCACTGAGCCAAACCAGTTAGGGCGTGATTTTTAAGACAATCAGAAATGTGGCTCAGTAGGTGAGCATTGACCTATGAACCAGGAGTTCACAGTTCGATTTCCGGTTAGGGGCACATGCCCAGGTTGCGGGCTCAATCCCTAGTGTGGGGCGTGCAGGAGGCAACCAGTCAATGATTCTCTTTCATCACTGATGTTTCTATATCTCTCTCCCTTTCCCTTCCTCTCTGAAACCAATAAAAATATACTTAAAAAAAAAGAAATGTGTTTTTTTTTAAATGCTCTGTCTCAAACTTTTTAATACTGGCAACTTAATCACCAATGCTGTTCTTGTCAACAGCAGAGGCTAAAGAACATGTTTGCAGGACTTACATGGTCTGTGGGCCACCAATATGACCCCTGGTATATGAAGTAGTATCAGAAAGATTGTTTTTGAGCAAAGGCCATGAATTTTTTAAATGGATTTTAGAAAGAGAAACATTAATTTGTTGTTCCACTTATTTATGCATTTATTGGTTGATTCTTTTTTTCTTTTCCTAATATATTTTATTGATTTTTTACAGAGATGAAGGGAGAGGGATAGAGAGTTAGAAACATCGAGGAGAGGGAAACATCAATCAGCTGCCTCTTGCACACCCCTACTGGGGATGTGCCGGCAACCAAGGTACATGCCCTTGACCGGAATCAAACCTAGGACCCTTCAGTCGGCAGGCCGACGCTCTATCCACTGAGCCAAACCAGTTAGGGCTGGTTGATTCTTATATGTGTCCTTACTGGGGATGGAGCCCGTAACCTTGGTGTATCTGGACAACCCTCCAACCAACTGAGCTACCCAGCCAGAGCCAAAGAGCATTACTTTTGTTTTGTCTGTTTTTTTTATTTTAAAGAAAAGTGAGATTGGTAGACAATTTAGTAAGGTCCTAAGTAGGCAGGAGACAGTTTAAACTTGAATTGTTTTGTTTCTTTAAAGTTTTGGTTTCACCAAATCTTTCAAGAACAAAGGCCTCAAGGTTGGCCAATGTTATCAGGTGTATACTTTTAAATTTATACTTAGATTCTTCTTAGAATTGGTGCGGTAATTTAAATTCATTTTCTAAAAAGAGGAGTGGAAAGGGAATCAGAGACGCTGGTTTCTAGTTGGTGGTAGAATCTTGTGGTGGGGAAAACCAGGTGAAGTGGTCAGAATTGGTTTTGTCGAACTGAGAGGAAAGATACGACCAAGCCCATATTTACTCTTTGCTTTGTAGATTTAAATGTTGAGAAAGAAAAACAGCTGGTCAGAGCATTGAGTTAAAATTGCTCTAAAGGGGGGATTCTAAGAGCGCAGAAACCACAAAAGAGACTGCAGAAACCACAGAAGTGGAACTCTTCAAGTTTCCAGCAAGGCTTCGCTGGAGATTTTCTCTTTCTTGCTCTTTATGTTTGTACTGGAATAGTTTGATGCTGCGAGTGTGATACAGAGGAATTATTAAGCCCTAATTTTAGTGTCTATTCACAGGACCATAATTATCCTGAGTGAACATTGGTGTTTTGGCCAAAACTTGGGTCCTTTTCTTTCTTCCTTTCTTTCTTCTTGAGGCCCAGTCAAGCCTTATCTGAATAGCGCCGTGAGTTTGGTGGGGGGAGATAAATTGTTAACTAAGGGAGGAGCACAAAAGCAGCTTTGTGGGTGCTGTCAATTTATAAATCACACCCTCTTACAAGTGTGACACTTGGCCTTGGTGTGAAGGGTTTTATGGCTTAAGGGCTTCTTTGATTGAGGCGGGTCTTTCACATTCAAATAGAGAGTGCCTGGCTTTGTTAGCCCTTCACAGCTGGAAGTTTCCCGGGAGTCACTTCTGCTGGTGCCCACTGGGGCTGATCGGGAAACCTCTTTTGGGAGCCACTTTATCTAGCTATGAGGAGAATGCGGCAGCCCTGGCAGGCGCTGGGAGGCCTTCGCGTACCATTCCTCGGGCTCTTCAGTCACAGCGCTCTTTGTGCAGCCCCTTCCTACATGGGGCCGAAGTTGAAGGTATCAAAATATGCCCAGCTGACATTGTTAGTCAGCTGTTTCCCTTGGACAATTCAGGCCGGGATTCCAACCTCGAGCCCTTGAGGTTGCGAGGCATTCAGTGCATTCCTGATGACAATCCCCGGGATTCCAGACCTTGCCTTTGTGCGGCCTCCCCAAGAGCGCCGTGGAAGGACTGGGCCGCACAGGTCTGGGCCAGGACTTCGCCACCCTGTACTGACCAGTGTCCTCCGTTTCGGCAGAGACCGCTCTGAGGTGTGGAAGTTTTCCTCCAACTCAAAAATCCTTTGATTCAGATTCTGTCCTTTTGCCTAAATTGTATGGAATAACTAGTTGGGTTATGCTCAGAGTGCAGGATGGGGGTGGGGAAGCAGCCACTTCCTGTTTCCTGTGAAAGGTTTCTGGTTAGGGTCCAAATGTTGTAAAGCCACTTTTGCTTCAAGGTACGCATTGTGCTCCTAAATTAGAAACAGTTAAAAAACAAAGAGGGAAAACAGAGGTTGTGGTTTTCACACCGTCTAGGAAGACACGGGGGCCTTTCTAGCACATGTGCCATCATGATAAATACAGCAGCAGGGAAGTCCATAGCCCGGAGACAGGTGCCTAGTAGTTTGTTTGCTTCCTTTGCTGCCCAGGAGAAGTCATGCAACAGATTTAATCAGAATTGGGTCTTGGGCACAAACCTGATGTACAGTGGATGAAGGAGAGAGTACAGTAATGGTTTTGTGGCGAGGAAGTGTTAAGAAAGTTTCCCAGAGAAAGAGTTGTTAGAATTGGCATGTGAAGGCCAGTTTGCCAGGCGCTGAAGCCAGGACCAGCCCTAGGAAGCAGGATCAACCAAAAGCACAGATGTAAGACAGAGTGACTCGGGCTTTCCTACCCCAGAACAGCCAGCTCTTTCTGTATCTTTGAGTTGCAAAATGCCTACTGTGTGCAAGGCAGTGTTTGGGGTGCAGGGAATCACAGTCCTGTTGTCACCATTCACAGATGATGCTGAAGCTAAGAGAAGTTAAATGACCTGCCAAGGTCACACAGCTCTGTGGGAAGCAGCAGGTGGGAGAGCACAGACAGAGGCTAAGGGCACTGGCTCACCCTAGGACTTACAAGGTGATTCCCCTGGGAGTGTCTAGGATACTTGGAACTGTTATGAAGATGGTGGGATACAGTATTGTTAACATGGGGATCATTCCGGAAAAACCTTTGGGAGAAGCCATTGTCACATTCCCATTTGCTGCTCATGTTTCTTTATTGTGAGGGGCTGCCAGACAGGAGTAGATGCCCGATGGTGGTTCCTTGCCCTAGTCGCACTTTAAAAACTAATCATAAAGTAGGATTTGTTCATGACATGCTAAGAAATGCAGATTTAGTTTTACCTCTGCTTCTGAAAATAGAGGGTGACTAATTTGGGCACTGTTAATACTCTTCTCATGAATTAGTTGTGAAATTCCACGGCGGAGAAGTGATTCATTATTTTGATTCCCCCTTCCTGAGCAGTTTGTTGACAGCTCAGTCATCCTCCTCTCACTGCCATCCTTAAAGAAACATTCCTCATGACTGACTAGCTTCATTCCTCCTCTTTAGGTGGCATCTTGATTTGTAACCATGATTACTCTTCAAATCACTTGTCAGTGTCTCTCCCATTAGAGTTTAAGCTCCATAGGGGCAGTTTGTCCACTGCTGTCCTCCGAGACAGTGCCTGGTACGGTCATATCCAGGAAATGTCTGTGCTTCCTGCAGTACAATACGAGAGCTTTAGAGCAGATTATTGTCATTTAAAAAAGAATTATTGAATTAACTTTCTTTGTGATCAACTAAATGGATTAACTTTGTAGTACATGAGGTTTCATAATATTGATTTTTTACAGAGAGGAAGGGAGAGGGATAGAGAGTGAGAAACATTGATCAGCTGCCTCCTGCACATCTACTGGGGATGTGCCCGAAACAAAGGCACATGCCCTTGACCGGAATCGAACCTGGGGCCCTTCAGTCCGCAGGCCGATGCTCTATCCACTGAGCCAAACCGGTTATGGCTGTGTTTCTTACTTTTAAATATATTTTTATTGGTTTCAGAGAGGAAAAGAGAGGGAGAGATAGAAACATCAATGATGAGAGAGAATCATTGATTGGCTGCCTCCTGCACTGGGGACTGAGCCTGCAACCCGGGCATGTGCCCTGACCAGGAATCAAACTGTGACCTCCTGGTTCATAGTTGAGCCAAACTGGCCAGGTGAAGCCTGTAGTTTTAAAAGTTGTTTTGGTGCTGATTTATATTCAACTTTATTTTATATCCAGAACTATATTACGTTACAGATGTTCAGCCTGATTTAAAAAGTAAAATTTATTCACAGTCCCAGGCGGGGAAAGCACAGAACAAGTTGGGAGAATGTGAACCCTGTTCCCCCGTAAGGACTATAACGTTCTTCTCAGAACACTTTCTGTGCTTGTGTACTTAGTAAAGTTGGAGTACTAATTAATATACATGAATACTTATAAGGCATATAATGACCTAATATGTATGACGTATTGTGTTTTGCTTTTTTTATTCAATGTGTTTTTGGGAGACCTCCCGACTTATATCT